CACCCTTAGCTACACTTGTGGAGGAGCGTCGTTGACCACGTCCTTACCGTGACCTGAAAAATGTTAAAGGAAGGGGGTGAGTATATAGGTTCAGTAGAAGATGCCTAAGGCACCAATTTTGGACTCCCTTGAGCCATACATCACACATTGGGATTAAAAGAAACCGGGATCATACTTAGGGGATATTACAAAATTTAATTCACATTTCAATCTAATAAATGGCATAGGTACAATTTCACATTTTATGAATGAAGATGTAATGCAATGCACAACCATTCCCAAGCTTGGTCTCAAACGACACCAAACTTGGCCTTTACCTGCCCCAATCCCCACCTACGCTAACCGAATTTATAGAGTTAGGATTGACACTATCCCTGGCCTTTTGGCCATTTGGGGCCTAGTATCAACTTTTTCATGTCCTACACCAGATCGTGCCTCCTCTAGGTCGAGTTAGCACTGGGCTCGCGATACCCGGTCCATTTCTAAGATTCCTCTTTCCCGCCCATCCTAAGATGGCTAACTTGTCAATCTCTTTCCATTCCCTCACCATTCTAAAATGGCCCATTGTCCTTCTCATTAAAAATTCCCACTATGCCGTGCATATGCACCAATTGCATCAATTCAACTTCAATTCCCAACTATACAATAGCAATGATTTCAATATGGTATTCCTTATAATTTAAGCACAAGTATAGCATTCCTTCCACAAAATGAATACAAATATGGCATTTCTCCATTATTTATTGACAAGCGTGCTATTCAATTAAGATGTCATAGTATCATTATGCTAGCATTTAATTTTGACATAGAATTGCACATTCTTTCCACATAGAATACTTTGAACACTTAATCACATCATTCACATTCATTTAGCAACAATTTCATAGACATGGCCTTCAACTTGAAATTAATAGAAGAATAATAATTAGTTCTCAATGAAAGGCAAAGGTTGAAGGCTTAGAAAACCCCTACCTCAACTATGTGCACCCAAACATGCCCTTAGCTAGCCAAACAAGGCCTTATGGGAGCCCTAATTTTGAAATTCTCCAAACCTTAGCAACCATGGTCTTAAAATGTAATCCTTGCCATGCTTATCAATTTTCCCTTCTTGGTCATCCTCAAAATCTAAATCTAACCTTCTAAAAAATGGCCTTGAAGCATATATGTATAAAGATGTGTGTGTGTGTGTGTGTGTGTGTGTGTGTGTGTATCTATATATAAAGAGAGAAAGAAGAACTAAAGGGACAAAGAACTTTGGTAGAGAATAGGAGAGGAATGAGGAGTGTGTTGATCTTGCAAATGTATACATGGCCTATATTGTGCCACTTGTCAAACTTAGAATGGTTACTAACTTTAGTCAAGTTCCTAACAAGCCCTCACCCTTCTCTTGCAATGCTAAAATATCTCCTCAATATTTACTTACATATATATGTATATATTTGGGAAAAGACCATAATGCCCCTCACTTAAAATGGCTAAACTGGGAGAAGTTCCCAAGCCCAAAAATTGTCCCGACTTCTGAAATATTCTAAAAATGATCCCGTTAACTCTAATTGACTTAAAATAATTAAAAATACATTTCTAAAACCCTCGGCTCAAAAAATGACCAAAACCCTCGACAACCAATTTCAATGAAGGCGACATCTTTCTTAGAATGGTTACATTTCCTGCAAAAAAAATTCAGGACGTTACATATATGAAGATACAATTATACATCAATCAAGCACAACACAAAGTTTTACATTGTTCACCTGATCTCTAGGGCTACGCCCAATGAGAGAAAAAATTCTACTATTATGAATCAAGAAGATAATACATTTATAGAGATAGCCCACTCACTCATCCACCCACTCATTCTGAAACCTTCCCCATTGATGTTCAACCATTCATACTCGACCACCAATTTCAATGAAGGCCACCTCTCTCTCTACACTGGTACTCACTCTCTCCTCTCCTCACCTCACCCACTAAAACCCTTTTTTTGGTTCTTCTATACCTTATCCACCCCAACCATACCTCTATTATAGAATCTTCAAACTAATTCTTTTTTGAACAAGGATTACATACCTTATCTAACACAAAGTTACCAAATCAATTGCAACTCTAAAATTGTAGCATAATAAGACCCAACTTCCTTTACAAGTCTTTAGCTTTTAGGAAAGCAATTCTATAACAAGTCCTGCACATATCACGTAAGTGTGACTGCTTTTATTTTTCATAACAACATTTATCGATTGAATTTAAGACATAGTCTAACATAACTTAATTAAGTGAGGTGATTTGTATCTTCCAATTGAATGTGCCATGAGATTTGAAAACCAACCCCTCACATACCACTATGCCACAAAAAGCTTTTTTCAAAAAATATAAAAAATGAAAAAAAAATCTCCTTTAAAACAGTTGGTTGGTAAAAGTGGTTGGATTTTGTTATTAAACCCTATCTTTCTTAATTCTGATGTACTAAATAAAATTGCATGTTGGATTTTTTGAAATGCTTTTTGAGCATTCTAATATTGAATGAGCAGTGTTACACATCTCGAATCTTACATGACGATAACTAAAAAAGACATGAATGCCCTCTATATTATTACATATTATACTTTATTCTTTTATGCATTTGTGATTTTCCTATTTTAGCAAAACAAACGAATAGGTAATTGAATGAAATGTAAGAACAAACAATTACATTAGATTTCTCTATCTATCTCTAATTTGATTTTGTCTACTAATATTTTTTAGTTTATATATATATATATATATATATCTTAACTTCTCTATACCTTCTTTTTCTTCTTCTTTTTATTTTTTATTTTTTATATCACTTTACACTTTAACCTCAATCAGAAAAATACAATTATAAAAAGTTTTAAGTGAATTATGTAAATTAGGGTTCTTATTTATGAGAAAATGATCACTCATTCATCATAAAAAGTTGTATCTTCTATTTTGAATTATTTGAATAATTAATAGAAAGGATCTCACAAACGAACATATATACTCGCAGAATTGAATTCAAGTTATTGAGTTATATTAGGGCTTGGATTGTATTATGATAAGTTTTATTATTATTTTTTTCTTTCCTATATTAAGAAAATTATTTTTAAAATACACAAAACAAATTAAATAAATTGCAAATAAGCCGCCACCTAATTGGAGTTATTTTCGTGATACAATAATTTGTGATATATATCATTTTCCTAATGGAATTGGTGAACCACATAAAACCCTTCAATTCAAATAGTACTTTTTCTAATGTTTTTTTTTATTTACATTTTTACAACAACTTCATCTGGATGTTATTCTATAGCTCGTTAGAGCATCTCCAATGCAATGCTATATTGCATGCTATTTCTAAAATATAGCAATTGGGCTTGAAAAGGAGCTCTCCAATGCAAAGCTATATTGTTTGCCAAATTTTAACTTTGCTAAAATTGATGCCAATTGTAGCACAAGAAATAGCAGTAGCTATTTCACATACAGAGAGAGAGAGGGTTTCAGATATATATATATATATATATATATATATATATATATATATATATATATATATATATATTAAAAAGATCATAAAAAATTTCACCAAATAGGATTTAGTTTGCAAAATAAGAATTACAGACCTTGATTACAGAAAAAAAAAAAAAAAGAATTACAAACCTTGATCATAAAATACAATTACAGAAAAAAAAAATTAAAATAAAACCCACACATACAAGTTAGTAGTTGCAAAGAGAGAGGGGGGCAAGCTTGAGAGTTGAGAGACAGCGGCTGAAGCTTGCGAAGGGCGAACCCAAACTGGAACAGCGGGCGATGGAAACTGAAAGATATGGGTTTTCATTTTTTAAACAATCTGAAATGATATGGCCGAGAGAGGGGCAAGTTCAGTGAGAACGAGAATAGAGATGGAGGCGATTGGGGAGGCGGAAATGATTTGCCCTAAATATATACTATATTTTTTCTTGGGTCCTGGGCGTATAAATTATAAGTTAAATATATATAAATTATATAGTTAATTATATGGGTCATGGGTCTTTTTTTTTTTTTTTTTTAAATCAGATATTTTAGATTTTTTATTCTTTTTAATTAAGTTTAATTTTAATTTCTTTTTAATGTCTATAATTTGACTTGGAATGTACCTAATATTAATATTACTGATGCAAATATGAATGGCGAGAATGGTAGTTGAAAAAGAATGGTGGTTGTGTCAAAAAATAACATTTTGCATTAAATTCACAATTGGAGCAGAATTGGTAAAATGAAGCATTTTGATACTGTACGTAGTACCTGTCAACATATAAATTTGACATGTAAAAATAACTTTTAGCATTGGAGATGGTCTTAGAAATGTTCTCATTAGGGAGCTCAAATAATGCTTTATTTAGGTACAGTGGCAAGGGCTCTCCCCAAATTTTCAAAGCTCAAATAGTGTTTTTCTCAACCTTTAGGTACAGTGGCAAGGGTTCTCACCAAAAATTCAGTAGGTTAGGAGTTCGGATTTAATTGGACCATTCTTGAGTGATTGGACCGCAAGTGTCCTATATTTAAATTGTGTAAAATATCTTACGAAACCCGCATCACCATATAAAAAAAAAGTAATAATAATAAAATATAATTTGATAAGAAATAAGTGGACAATAAATGTAACCGGGTCATCATCATTTAACAAAAAAAAAAAAAAAAAAAAAAAAAAAAAAAAAGTTACTCCCAATGTCTTATATTAGATGTTTTTTTTGGGGAGTAGAACTTTTTAAGGGAACATGTAATTATTGCATTATCCTCTTGAAAAATTATAAATCTACCATTTCAAGTTTAAATATACTTAAATTTTAAGAGTATTTTATTGAAAGATGTAAAATATATTGTCCAAATTTGATAAGTGGACAAATATTTTGGACAACCTAAAAAGAAAAGATAGACAATTAAATTAAGACAGAGGGAATAGAAGAGAGAGAGAGAGAGAGAGTTTTGAAGAATTTGAGAAAATGAAACCATGACACTTGTTATAAAGAGGAAAAGAGCGTAATTACATGATTGATTTGCTACTTGGACACGACCGCCATATATCGCTGACAAGTCCAAGATGCCATAGTAATACCCAACAAATCAGTTTTAAATAGGAACAGAGAGAGAAAAAGCTAGAGGCTCTGAAATGGCTAAATTTCCCTTCTTGTTGTTTCTGGCATTGTTTGCAAGGCTAGAAGGACTAGGAGAAGGCCAAGATGAGTGCAAGGTAGATTCCAGGTGCAAGAAGCATGGTCCGGCCATCCGTTTCCCCTTCCGGCTTAAAGAGGACAGGCAGCCCGGCCACTGTGGCTATCCCGGGTTTCAGCTAACGTGCGACGAGAGAGAACAAACGGTACTCGAGCTGCCATATTCAGTGAAACTGCTTGTCAAGAAGATTGATTACAAGTCTCAATTCATTCACCTTCAGGACCCCAAAGGCTGCCTTCTAGGACGGCTTATAAAACTCAATTTGTCTGCCTCTACTTTTCAGTTTTATCCAGATTCTGAAAGCTACTACTTGTCTGCGTATGCTTTATACAATTGTTCTGAACCAAAGAGATATTTACGATTCTTCATTCCTTGCCTTACAACTGCTCCCGGAGATCACATTTATGCTGTCCCTTCTTATGCCTATTACTCTTCCCTTACTTCCTGCACAAAGATTGGTAACTACACTTCATCACTTCCTTATCGTCTATTTTCTGATTTGAGTGATAATCTTGTATTGTCTTGGTCGGAACCAAATTGCACAAAATGTGAATCAGAAGGCAAATTATGTGGCTTAAAGAATCATACCACTGGACATCATGGTATTGAATGCCTCCACATGCCTAAAACAACAAAAGGTACGTCCATCCTCAAATATAACACACATATATAATATGGTAGGTTTTCTTTTCCTTCCCCGCACATAATTTGATCCTATTACACCGAAAAAGTTAAAGATCTGTTGATCGAAATATATAAGAAAAGGCTACAAAGCGCATGGCAAATTAATATTTTGATCCTATTTTACACACAGCAAAAGTTGAAAATCTGTTGGAAATAAAGGATAGAGAGAGAAAAAAAATCCAATAAAAACAAAATTTTTACAAGTCAGATTTTCTTATGTCGTAAGCATATATATATATATGGAAAACTAATACTTTGATCCTATTTTACAGGTTCATCAATAACACTAGTTGTGACAGGTAAAGTTGTCTATTGATCACCTTTCTTTTGTTAGGACGGACTAGAATTAAAAGGATTTTTTGTAATTTTTTTTCCTTCTCAGTTGACTTGGTTTGTTTTAATGCAGCTATCGTGATATCAGTTCTCCTAATTCTTGCTCTTGGAATCGTAGTGCTCTATCGTGTCTATAACTCAAACAAAATGTTGAAGGAAGATGAAGTAAAGATTGAAATGTTTTTGGAGGACTACAGAGCACTCAAGCCCTCAAGATACTCATATGCTGATATCAAAAAGATCACAAATCAATTCAAGGACAAACTGGGGCAAGGGGGTTATGGGACAGTGTTCAAAGGAAAACTTTCCAATGAGGTTTTTGTAGCTGTTAAGGTCCTCAACGATTCAATAGGAAATGGAGACGAGTTCATCAATGAAGTGGGAACAATGGGTGGAATCCACCATGTGAATGTGGTTCGCTTGGTTGGATTCTGTGCTGATGGATCTAGACGAGCTCTTGTTTATGAGTTTTGCCCAAATGATTCTTTAGAAAAGTCCATCTTTTCAGAAGATCAGAAGAACCATTTCCTCGGTTGGGAGAAGCTGCAAGATATCGCCCTGGGCATAGCCAAAGGAATCGAATATCTTCATCAAGGGTGTGACCAAAGAATCCTTCATTTTGATATTAAACCTCATAATATATTGTTGGACCACAATTTTAATCCAAAGGTCTCTGATTTTGGCCTAGCAAAGTTGTGTCCCAAGGACCAAAGTGCTGTCTCCATGACTGCTGCAAGAGGGACCGTGGGTTATATTGCACCTGAAGTATTTTCTAGGAATTTCGGTAATGTGTCATATAAATCAGATGTATATAGCTTCGGAATGTTGTTGCTTGAAATGGTTGGTGGGAGGAAAAATATTGATGTTAAAGTAGAGAACACTAGCCAAAAATACTTCCCCGAATGGATTTACAATCATTTACATCAAGGAGAAGTGCTAGGTATGATCAGCATTGAGATTGAGGAACATGCAAAAATAGCAGAGAAACTAGCTATTGTTGGGCTCTGGTGCATTCAGTGGTATCCTGTTGATCGGCCTTCCATGAAAGCTGTGGTTCAAATGCTGGAAAAAGAAGGAAACAACTTGACCATGCCACCAAATCCTTTTGCTTCTGCAACAAAAACAAACACAAGTTCAAAAGGTTTCAATAGAGAGCTAGAAATTATTTCAGAATGAAATTAAGAAGCACAATTGTGATTTGTAATGTTTCTTGCCGGTATAGTATAAATATTAATGGTAGGTAGGCCAAAAAAAAAAATCCCATCTTGTATAAGTTTCCAGGGCTTTTAATATGTTGTAATGTAATATTATTCGCAGAAACATCTTAATTATGGTGTCAAATTACAACTTTATTGGCGAATGCATGATCTTACAACTATTTGATGGAGTTTTTATGATAATTAATCTTAATAGGTAATGCATTAATAACAAAGGATTGCATGTAAAAAAAAAAGGGTTCATGAACATCTTGAGTTCTGCACGATTAAAAGTTATTTCACATTCATTTTCTAAGTAAAAAATTATGCTTGAACAACATTTTCGATATTAGATAAGTTTATGATTGAGAAATTTGACATTTTCAACAATAAGTTTATGATTCAGATATTTGAAAAGTTTAGTAAGTAATCAAATATTTATTTTCTGCTCATTTTCCTTTAACTATCCGGATCTTGTCCTGTGCAAAATTAAGTGTTGTATCATCCAGTGTGTTTGATATATCATTCAATGAGTTTGAATTGACAATGCAACAATTTTAATAGACAATAAAACAACTTTATATCTTAATGCAAATACTTTGAATTGACAACGTAATAACTACTACATAAAAATATTGAAATTTTAATTTAATAGTGTTGTCATATTAGTACATTACAATACAATTGCGTGGATATTGCGTGGTGTTACATTTGTGATGCAGCATGTTATATTTTGACGTAGGCCCTACACATCTTGAAGTCCAAACTTTTGTCTTCTCTTATTGTCCTGGTTAAATTTTTGCATCCCTCTTTATCTCTCCGTTTTCCTACTCTAGGGGTTGATGAGTGATGACTTGTGTTTGCTGTCTAGAGTGTTTTTATTTTTATTTTATATATATATATAATTAATGAGGACCTAGATAATTTGTTATATAATTTATTTTACATAAATCATTTCTCAAAAACCAACCAAATTACAAACATTTTGAAAAAGTATATGATGTAGTGTAATACAAATACAAAATCTTTAAGGGGATAATTAAGACACACACTTCCGATTGTCAGATTTTACATTGAACACTTGTGACATTATAAATGTGTGGACTTGCATTTGAGTTCTCTAACTCAACGAGCCAACTCAATGTAATGACGGTAATGCAAATTATTCGTTAAAATACAAATTTGATCTAAACTTCTAAACTTAAACTGATCCCGAGTGCTGTTTATTTTAAAATGAAAATTAAGTATAATGAAACTCACAACAATTGAAATTTCTATGTCTAAGAATTTTAAGAGTTAATGGTAAATTAAAAAAATTTTGTTACTTGTTTGAATTTATATTGAAAAGCCAAAATTTTCTCGATTAATATTTTAGTACATATCTTCTAAATTAGTACCCATTGGTTATTCTCTATAGTTATACATAATTATGTGCTGAATTAAGTTTGGAACTGTGATATATATATTTTGTAATTGACGAAATTTATTGTCAAAACAACTCCGATTGAGTTGTAAAATTTCAGTTTAGAATTTCAAAATTCAAGATCGGAAACAGATGTGAAGAAGTTCAAGTGTTCATACTTCGATACACTCCGGGATAATGAGAACAATGCATTAGATAGGTAAGAGAGTGTGTGAGTACAGTTGGGAGGCTTTTTGGTATTTTTCAAGTTTGGCCAATTTGAACCGGTTCAACCACCGTGAACCGGTTCAAGTGTCAAAAATGTTTTTCGATTTTCACTACTGGCCAACTTAAACTAGTTCAAGGGTTCAAGTGTTAATGTTACTTTTCTTTGAAAAACCTACTAGCCAACTTGAACCGGTTCAAGCACCATGAATCGGTTCAAGGTCTTCAAATCTTTTTGGTAACTTACCTTCCTGGTCTGTTTTGGTTCCAATTTTGGGTAGACTTCCTCTATATTGTGTAGGCAAAAAATTGACTTGGTTTCGAAATATTTTCAGGTCTTCCAAACTTCTATATAATCTCTCTTTTACTTAACATTGAGTCACGGCTTTTTGGAACAAAAATTCGTTATTTTGAGAAAGCCTTTTTTAGGGATAGTTTTTTTATTTAATCAAATTTGATATTTCTATTTCTCTTTTGAGAGACAAACATATATACACGAGTGAATTAGGATTGTTGTTCTCTATCTCATCAGAATTGGAGCATAATTAAAATTCAGTAATTCCGAGAAGTATGATTTATTTTTTCTACAACAAATTCAGATTCGAAAAAGAAGAATTTTCGATCACACTTTGAAGGGGTAAAGGCACTTGCGAAGTGTTGTTGATTTACCAGCAATCCTTCTACAAGGTTCAAGGCATAAGTTTAAAGTCGAGAACTATTGGACGGGAAGTCACAAAGACAGAAGTGTTCAGCAAATTGAGTTTTGGTAGAGTGAAGGGGTGTGAGCCTGAGTCAAAATTTGGTGTACTTTGCTTTATACGTAGTGGATAATTTACGCTCAGGACAGCGCAAAAATTCGCTAAAATCCTAGTGTCATCTCTCTAATTGTACTTACTTTACTTTTTAGTATTTATCTTTGTGACTGTGGATATTTAATTGATTATATTCTTGGGTAAATTAATCCATCAAATAAATTGGCAAGTTGACCTAATAATCTCATCTAGGTCATTTAGGGATTTAATCACAACTATCAACTTAACAGCTTCCGCACCACATAACTAAAAGTAATTGGATGATCTATTCTTTGATAACTTGATATTAGTGATAGTTATTAACCAAACTTGTGACACAGTTATTTTAAGGGTGAATTACACTGGCTTTCCTGAGGTTTATCAAAATTACTCGTGAATGAAACCATTTGAAAAATGATGGTCAACCTTCCTCGAGATTTGTCCAAATTACTCTGACCACCCCTATTTAAGTCAAAAGTTAATTGTGTCAATAGAATAATTTCAAAATACCATAACTACCCTTTTTTACATAATACTACCCCTGCTTATATCTATATAATTGCTTATATCTATGTAATTTACCCTTCTTAGTGATAGATGCACCATTTTGTATTAACAATTTTTCCGTCACTCTCTCTCTCCGATTTTTCCTCCTCTCTCTCTCTCTGACGGAACCCAACTTCGGACCATACCAAGTTTCAAGACCTAAAGTCAAAGACATTCAATATATATATATGTGTGTGTGTGTGTGTGTGTGTGTGATTAAAGAACCTGAACTAAAGAAGTAGAAATGGGTTATTATAATCGAACACAAAAAAAAAAAAAAAAAAATATCAAAAAATAAAAAGAATTTTACAAGATTCTAAGAATCAAGACCTATTTCAGGGAAAAAAATTACCAAAAAAAAAAAAAAACCCATTTGAAAATCCAAATAAATCTTAGATATTGGAACCTAAAATAGAAAGAAACAAAAAGGAAAACCTAAAGGACCTAAAAAAAAACTGTCAAAACAAACTTGTACAAGAGAAAAGGAAAAAAAAATAAAAAAATGACAATGGATGAATTGCCAAACCCCAAAGAGGAGATGGTTACTTCATATGTGTGTATAAAATATGATATTGAAATTTGAAAAAAAAAAAGAAGTAAATTGGATTGTTACAAAGTTGATGGGGAAGTTTGGAGAGTTTTGTGGATTATCAGTGAGTTTGAATTTTAAGTTGCCGATTGAAGATCTATACTTGTTGATTGAAGAATACGATCGATTTGCCTTTCACATATCAAGCTGCGAAGACCAAAGCCATGCTTTTCCCAAAAGATCCTACAGATACTAGTGTGGCATCGTCTCACATAACTATAGAAGCCTTTTTCCATAGAGACCCAATAGTAAGTTGTGCGGAGGATTTGTCTGGCTCTGAAATCTCTCATCCGTCGACGATTTCACGCATCAAACTCTGCGTTTCTGGAATGTTGTTGTATGCAGTCGCTGGATTATGTCCTTTAATTCCACCTACGTCGGCCTATTGGTACCATGTCCGAGATTTCTCACAGGATGTTGGATTTCCCTCCAATTTCCAGAAAGCCATTGAGGAACTCCGGCGTTTTCTATGACGACCCAAATTTGCTGGATCCGAATCGCTAACCAGGTTCTTAACGGAACCCGAGGTTATGCATTTCACCTTAAATTAGCACTTTAGGGACCAACAAGGGCAAAATGATCATTCTACTTGATTATAATGGCCTATGACCCAAAAAGGGTAAAACAGTCATTTGCTAAAGTCTTACAATAATTAGAATGAAATCCAGGAGTAATATGGTCATTCCCGTGGATAAAATATAATTAATATATTTTACTGGGTCCATAATATATACTAGCTAAATTAAATGAGTGATGAGGGAAAAATAAAAGACAAACGGTAAGTAGCAGGAACCAGTCCATGTGTGGACACTACACGTCCACTGGTTTGGGACATTCGGTCAACCAGTGAGTAATTCACGTTGACTAATAAGGGTCATCCATAGTGAAATTGCTCACTATGCAAAATCGTGAGATACCGGTCAACGTGTAGGAAGCCACACGTCGACCGAAACCTTCCAGTCATGTATTTTTTTTATTTATTCTATTATACAACCAATTACAATCCAACCACCCATAATACAACCACTAAATTACCACTAATACACTACTAAAATGCCACTAAAACACTATATATATATATATATATATATATATATATTATACCCCAAATAATCCGCTTAACAAAACAACGTTAACATGATTACATCATGGCCGATTACATACCCAAAATAGAATTATTACATTTACCACTACCAACACACTATAAATGCAAAAGTATGCCCAAAGAATATTGTTACAATGTTAATACAATACTTTTCAAATTTTTTTTTTTTTTTTTTTCCTAAATGAAGGATTTTATAAATATAAACAATATAGTACATGAAAATAGAGTGAGGGCAAACCCTCACTGTACAAAAATTCCCTAACAGGGGAAAAAGAAAACAATGCTAAGTAAGAAATTACAAGATATCTTGAAGGCATACCCCCATGACATCAAGAACCTCCCAAAAAATACACTTAGCAATTTCCATTGCATCTTTACAATTTCCATTGTGCATTCTCTCATTTCTTTCTCTCCAAATAAAGTAGAGCACAACAGTAAAAAAAATTCGAGCCACTTTGTTCTTCTTCCATTGAAATCTTTGATTAAACACTGT